TATAGGAGGATTAGGAGGAACTTAACGGAGGACCGTGGGGGAGAAGAAGAGGGGAAATAGTAGGGGAGAGGGAGGGAGGCAAACCGTGAGAGACCCTTGAATGCTGATAACAAACTGAGGACTGATGGGTGTGGGGGAAGGGGGGATGGGCATGGAAGAGGGCACGTGTGGGGATGAGCACCGGGTGTTGTATGGAAACCAACTTGACAATAAACTATTCGTAAAAAGAAAATTGCTGATGGAATGAAAGAGAAAGGAAAGAAGGAGAGAGAAAAGGAAGGAAGGAGGGAGGGAGGATAAAGTCAGGGTCAAGAAATTTGCTTTAATCACTTTATTGTGTTTTCTTCTTTGAGTCCCATCATGTAGGAGATATAGGCTACTACTCAACTTCTACTGTAAGATCGGCAGCTCTGAGAACTCCTTTTAAAATGTAGCATGTTAGGAATACAGTCCTGTTCAACAAGAAATGAGGAGGAGAGGGGCGCCTGGGTGGCTTAGTCGGTTAAGCGTCCGACTTTCGCTCAGGTCATGATCTCGCGGTTCGTGGGTTCGAGCCCCGCGTCGGGCTCTGTGCTGACTGCCAGCTCAGAGCCTGGAGCCTGTTTCGGAGTCTGTGACTCCCTCTTTCTCTCTGACCCTCCCCTGCTCACGCTGTCTCTCTCTCTCTCTCTCTCCTAGAAATAAAAAAAAACATTTAAAAAAATAAATAAATGAGGAGGAGACATCTTCACGTGAAACTCTTGTGGAAAATCACTTTTTTTTTTTTTTTGAAAGTAAGCTCTATGCCCAACGTGGGGCTTGAACTCATGACCTTGCAGGCAAGAGTCGCATGCTCTACTGACTGAGCCAGCCAGGTGTCCCCAAACTCAATCACTTTTAAAATCATATCTAACTTTAACCATTGCCTGAATATATGCAACGACTGAATGATATGTTTCCTTTAGTTATAAGAATGCATATCGATGAGGTATTTGTTTATAAGAATAAGTGCCAAGAAGGTATTAATTTGTAAGAATAAAAACCAGTAGCTATCCTGGGAGACTCTTTTGAAGTCAATCTCCGCAGACTACATAAAGTTTTCCACTACATACAAGATCTATTTTTATTATAAGATCTTTTTTTTGTTTTTGTTTTTTTTTAATTTCATTATGAGAGCTTTGTAAATTCTTCAAAGCTTAAGTTCTCATTTTTCATGGCGGCGTGCTTTCCCAACTACTCCACATACTGGGATATCAGAGTTATTGTTAAACAGATCATTAAAAATGACAGATCAGGTCCTTATACCTGACTAAGTTAGTCCTGAGTATAAATGAGGTCCTTTGGGAATGCATGCTCCCTTTTGGATGACTGGGGTCATGTTACTGCACTGAAGCATAGACAATTCACTAACTCTGGCCCAAATCTGAGCTGGTGATTAAAAACTCATGCAAGTGTTTGGCACTACTAATAGACAACTGCTTAACACTTGCTTTCGGAACACCACTTTTCCAACTCGAGGCTAGCCAGTTTAGATAAACACTTATATTTATGCTTTATCTCCACTAGTATACTTTGGAGAAGACTTTTCATTTAGATTAAACAAACACCAAGGGTAAGAAAATTCATACTGAAAATACTCTATTTGCCTTCATTAAAAGACAAACCACATTGCTTTTCTACTCAATTTTCAAATATAAAAGAACTCTCTGAAACATTTCTTAAGCACTGTCAGCCTTCACACCCTCAATGCTGAGAAATCAATGGCTATTTCTGAATGGTACTAGGTACAAAGCATTGTGCTACTGAATTCATCTGAATCTTGCACTATTAATTTATGAATTTGACTGGAATATGTCAAGAGATCATAGCCAAAGATATACCTCCTTCAGAAATGGAACTTTGATCTCCTCAAGGTCATTAATACTGTTGTGTAAAATAATAATTTTGGGTACATAAAATGTGTTCATAAAATACTACACAGCTTGCAGAAACCTAACAGGACATGCTCAAACAGGTAAAATCTGCTTTGACCTTGACTCCGATTTACTTTGAAGGTAGGTCTGCAGTCTACACTTTAAACACAGAAGCTGGTATCTCTTGCTATCAGATTATAAACACTACACCTATATTATCAAAGAGTTCATCTTCTCCAAACATCTGAATTGTCTGTTGAAGAAATACTGAGTTTCTTCACATTACTCTAAAATAATATTAGGTTTAGGGTTACAAGACTTACGCGGTCATAGTTCAAAATATCTCAGAGTTGGGATTTTCAAAGGCAAAGGAAAAAGAAACTAAACTTGCCGAAGAGAGGTGTAGCATGGCAAATAACCTACTGTCTGGCTTTTACTTTTGTATCACCCTTCTTCTTACATTATACCAGGACAGGTATGGGGAAAAAAAAGCAAGATTTAGAAACAAAAATTTTTTTTACTCTTATTAAAGGTATTTTGGAAATAGTTCCTTGCATTCTTCAAAAGGATTAGGAGCAATATTTTATGCTGATTTAAAAAAAGAGAATACTGCTTCTCTTCCTAAATATTTAATACAGAGGGTGATGACTGTACTGATTTTCATATAAATATTAAAGCTTCTTGATCATGTTCCAAACCTTTTACAATGACAGAAGAGGCAACACCACCAACAGGAATTTGGGGCTCTACTCTACCAACCACATAATACATTACCCTTATCTAGAAGAGTAACTGATTTTTTAACTTACTGCCTCTAAATAAATCTTTCTTTTCACTTTAAATAAGAAGTAGGAAAGTGATTAAAGAATTTTATGTCATATGAAATATGCTATGGGTTTTTGTTTTAACAGAATAATAAAATGTTTTATTTATTTCTGAGAGAGAGAAAGAGAGAGACAGTGTAAGCAGGTCAGAGAGAGAGGGAGACACAGAATCTGATACAGGCTCCCGGCTCTGAGCTGTCAGCACAGAGTCTGACGCGGGGCTCGAACCCACGAACCGTGAGATCACGACCTGAGCCAAAGTCGGGACGCTTAACCGACTGAGCCACCCAGGCACCCCATGTTTTAACAGAATAAGCTTTTATCTTTGGGTTTTCCATATCAAATTCAAACACATCTTGATAAAGTAAACTCTATCCAAATATTGTAAACGCATAATCAATAAAAGCAAGTTATATTATAAAACAACCTATACTAAGCTGAGATTTAAAAATTATAAACTTCCAAATGGTATAAAGCAGGTCCTTCATTCAGGCACAGAACATTCTCTAATTTACCTGCCACATAGTAGAAGAGATTTGAAATCAGAGGTCTGTGCACTGATCATTACTGTAACTCTGGCCAGCTGAGAGGTCCCCCATTGTTTACACAACATCAACGAATATCTGTTCTATGCAAGGTGCTGCCCAGGGGTCAAGCCGCCAGTTTTTATTCAGTTTCCTGGGATGACACTGGACTTGGGGTACTTACTTCTCTGTGTTATGTGGCTATACGAAATAACAATTTTTTCTTTGACAAAGAAGAAGAAAATGCTGACAAAATTATTTTTCAGAAACCAAAGAACAGAAGCAGCAGCTGCCTTCCCCAGTCCGGACTGCAGTGTATTTTGGAATAAGCCATTCAAATCGGCAGCTGGCATCTCAGATTGCCGTTTACTCTACACTGTGCATCTCTTCGAGAAGTGCTTCCCCTCTATCTGGCAGGCAGGAAATACTAGGGCTTGGGGCAAGCAGTCTCTTCTCCTGTCACCAAACCCTCTTCCTGCTATTGCTCCTCTAAACAATGCAACACACTATACCGGAAAAATACGACTCATTTTCCAAAAATGTGTTGACAAGCAACTTTTCCAGAACATAGGTCTTTTTAAGGCAGGAACATCTGTATTTACAACACAGATCCAAAACACCTACATGTTTTTCTGTATAACAGAGTATGTTTCTCTTGGCTGAAACCATGGTTTATTAGCATATCTGAGCGGGAATTTATAAATAGGTCCCTCTTGGTCCTTCCTCCAGAAGAACACTGAGCCATGAGTTTTGTTTTAGGAAAAACAGTGAAGTGTAACAGCATGTCATGCTATTCTTTCTACTTCTGCACATGTGCACAAAGTTACCTTCTGAAGTCTTCTTTAATTCAGCTTTCAGTTTTTCCTGGTCTTCTGTTAGCTTTTTATTTTCTGCTTCCAAAATGTATTCCTCTTTATTGACAGACTTTTTCAAGAGCTATCAGAAAAGAGAGTTATAGAAAGAAGTTTAGATGGCAACAATGAGATATTATTTTAGGAAATAGGCTGAATAACATATTTAACGTTATTGGTCTTTATTTTATTCTTTGTCCTTGAAGTATTTTATAATTTTCTACAATATACTTTTGCTGATAGGACTTGATATTTGGGGAAAAAAAAAAAAACCAAACCCAAACAAACAAAAAACCCAAAAAGATTTCTTCTTACTAAGGCTGAAATCTCTGAAACGAAAATAAGGATTTCTGTTTGGGCTATAATTGACTTATGTTTTCAAAAAATACTTAGGTAAACAATGTGAATGCCTTTCCCTCCATTATGTGTGTGATGTTAAGGGAAAAAAACAGTTCTGAGGATATTAGTTGATAAACCATTATGTTCCAATTACGTATCTGTTTACTCAGACTATTTTTATGTAGACCAATCTGTAAAAAAAGAAGAGTATAATGTTAGGATGGGTAAGTGTGAAATGACAAGGCCAGCACTATGCTTGGAAAATTCTATCGAATTTTGAAGAGTCATTGAATCATCCTCAAATTACTTTTACTAATCTTTTACAATGTCTTTTCTATTTTGAAATCTATGCTGGCTTTTAAAATGTTTATTACATGTTTGTAGGTTATCATATTTTTTAGGCAAGAAAAATTAAGATCTAAAGAGTAAAGTATTTCAGAATTCTGTGTATCTAGAAGGAAAACATCATTTTTAATAGAATTAAGAAGCTGACTTATCTTTAAGAAATTAAAAAAAATTAAGTTACTACAAAAGGTAAATTAGGTTAATATTTGAAAAATAAAATACATACACATTGGCAGGGGTTACTTAAAGTGGCAGTAACTTGATACAGACAGTTTCCACAGTCAGATTAAAAAAGCAGCTTAGGACAATTTTTTAAAAAAATGTTTATTTATTTATTTTTGAGAGAGAGAGAGACACACAGAATCTGAGGCAAGTTCTAGGCTCCAAGCTGTCAGCCCAGAGCCTGATGTGGGGCTCAAACCCAAGAACTGTAAGATCATGACCTGAGTTAATATTGAGAGTCAGATGCTTAATCGACTGCACCACCCAGGCACCCTGGCTTAGGATAATTTTAGACAAAGTGACAGAAAAGAATTTCTACTGCAGGGTGATTCCTTTTCTCATGTAAGTTGGTATATCCAATAAACAAAACTCACAAAGTTCTACTGAGCATGGGCCACATGCAAATATATTACAGTTTTTACAATTAGATGATATAAGGGATAAAAATTAAGAGAAACATGGTGTCTGCTCTCACCTAACTTCAGTCTAGTGGAGAGGATGAGACAAGAACATAAAATCGGTAGCACCAGATCAAATACAATACTACTGTGTTATAACAGATTAGGCAGCTCAGAATAAGGAGTAAAACCACTAATATTTTTAGGAGACAAAAAACTAAAGTACATATTTACACTGAAGGAATCCCGTATCTCCAAAATTAAAATTTTTTTTTATTAAGGAGCAGAAACAAGAATTTTTTCCGATCTCTATAATTTGTTGCCACTTCAAATTCAAAATAATCCTAGCTGTTACTTCACTGAATTCAGGTCCCACAGTCTTCAGTGATTACCCAAATTGGAAAAGAACCACTGAGTTGTAGGAATGTTTATACTGACTGCTTGAATTATTATGCCATTGACTTGGAAAAGGTGGATTTGTGTTGGTCTCGTAAATAGGCTTTCATTATTGCACCTGCAAACTTGTCCAATTTATTACATGTGACTTGATGCTGGAGAAAGACCAAGAGCCCGGAACTGAAATTCAATAGCTAGCTGGCTATACAACACTGCATGTGTCCCACATACCTTACAGCTCCTTGGTAAGTGGCTGGAAAAAAACTGGTAAGAAATAAAGCTCCATCACTGTTGTTATTTTAAAGCAGTTAAATTAAAAGTTAGTTGGTCTTTCATAATTATTTCACTTCATTAACTGAATATTAGAACTGACAAGGGTCTCAGGCACCGTCTGCAAGTCATTTTATAAGAGAGCACACACAGGGCACAAAACAATGTGCTTATGCGTGTGGATTCTAGAGCCAGCCTGCTTGGATTCAAATCCTGGTTCTGTTGTTTATTAGCTGAATGGTTTTGTGCAAGTCACTCGACCTTTCTATGCTTCTACTTCGTCATGTATAAAATGCAGACAATAACACCACCGACCTCATGGGGTAGTTACAAGAATTAAGAATTGACAACTTCCTGTGAAGTATTTGAACCAGTACCCAGCACTGCGCTAGCTACTATGTATAACCCTGAGGCTCAGAACATACAAGGTGACTTGTCTCAGATCACAATGCTAACTGTTGGCAGAGTGAGGACTAGCACCTAAGTCTCTTGGGTCTCAGGGTAAAGGGTCTTCCATTCGATCAGGTGTCTCTGACAGGGAATAAAGAGTTGTTTCAGTAGTTTATCTTTCCTGAGCTAGTATTTCAAAATCTATATGAAGTATCTTAAAACAGAAGTCATCTTTGATATGTTGACCTCTGACTTTTCATGGTCAGTTAGTTACACTCTGGGCGTTGATAGCATTAATGTATGGCTCACAAATTTTTTCCCTACTGTGTGCTAGCTTTAGCTCAGCAAATCCGTGCATTTCAGATGATCTGGGGCCATTGACTGGTCAAGATACACAGGAGGCAGGAAACCAGGACAGCATGGAATCAAAGGAGAGGAAAACAAAACAAAGAGAAAAGAAAAGGGAGAAATTGTGGGAGAATCACAGAATCTGTCGTCAAGAAGTAGACTTCCTTGTAAAGGTAACTCATGGTGAAAACAATTCCAAAAGAAAGTTCTAAAAACGGCTTAAGAAAGGTACTTTTTTTGAAGGACAAGATTAATTTAAGGATGTTAAATACGGTGTATATGAAAAACAAACATACTAGTACCCAAATTATACAACAATGCTTTCCATTTCCTTAGAGCTGAAGAGTAAAAGGAAAACAACTAAAGAATGAGTGGAAAAAAGCAGGGTTCTGTTAATAGTTAGAACTCATTACTCTAACAGGATGGGCACAATTTTAAATCAAGATAGGTACACAGTAAATACACAGCTGTGTGCTTTTGAGTTTAGCCATCACGTATTCATCAAAGCTTTGAGGGTTTTGTTTTTATTTTTACCACTGTGAAGTGAGATCAAAGGATAGAAAATGAAGCAGGTAATATTGAGATACAAAATGAGGCTGATTTTGCTACTGAAACATTCTAAAAAAGCAAAAATGACTTATTGCTTGCTTTTGAATACAGAAATACCAAGAGCTTGATTTCCCAGAATGATATTTACTACAAAGGGAAATTTATAAGACATCTCTGGATGAATGACTTTTCAAAACAGAACAAAACAAAGTAAAAAAAAAAAACAAAAAAACTGGTGCTTTTTCTCTGTAAGTTTCTTAAAAGATGCTGGTTACGATCCGCCCAAAAGAAATCTTCTTCAGAGCTATTTTAAATGAAAAAAGGTCTTTACCTTTTTTCTGTAGTGGAAAATAAGGCAAACATCACTAGAAATAAAACATGGATTCTTTTTTTAATTTTTTAAATGTTTTATTTATTTCTGAGAGAGTGAGAGGCAGCGTGAGCAGGGGAGGGTCAGACAGAGAGGGAGACACAGAATCCGAAGCAGATTCCAGGCTCTGAGCTGTCAGCACAGAGCCTGACACGGGGCTCGAACCCACGGATCTTGAGATCATGACCTGAGCCGAAGTTGGACGCTTACCTGACTGAGCCACCCAGGCGCCCAGACATGGGTTCTAAATAGTTGATCATTATACTGTAGCATCAAACACAATTTTTTTTGCAGTGAGTTTTGCCTTATCTAAAATGTTCTGGAAAGCCTGGTATTACGTACTGGCTCATTCATTTACAATAGATACAAGGTGGTTCCTATAGTTCTCTCTACAGGAGGCTAGCCTTAAAGACTATGATAAGTATTTTAATTCTCTGTTAAACTCAGTACTTTTTAGATAAATATATCTTGGTATAATACATAACTGACTATTTGCATTTCATTAATTTACAATAGAAAAATCATTTTATTGTATTATTTTAGGAATACTTTTTTTTTTAAAGAAAATTTGTTTCACTTCTGAATGGTTCCATGGACACTTTTTTCTGAGAAGCAGAATTAGCAAAACTTACGCAGCTTACAATGAACTGCAAACATTCAAGCTATGAGATACGAATCCTGAATTTTACACTGAAGAAAAAAACTCAAATAATTTTGTAGCTATCATTTTTCATTTGTTCTTTTTATTTAACAGTGAAAATATCAGTACCTAATATACACTCTCCCTGAATGGTAGGGGACTTAGCATACGGTTCTCAAAGAAGTAGTACCAGCAGCGCAGCCAAATTAAAGATTTTAAATATTATATGCAGTCATCAGTCTAGCATTAACTACTTTCCTCTGCTTCCTACATCATGAACATTTAAAACAAAACAAATTAAAAAAAATTTTAAATGGTTTAAATATAATTTAACTGAAAAGGAAATGGCAACATAGAGACTTATAAAGATTTGCTTTAGGTTATAAAGTAAAATTAATGGTAATGAAGGAATTAAAATCCATATTCCCAGGATATTGGTTTTTTTTTTTTCATTCATAGGAAACAGGTTCAATGGCATTAATCCACTACAGAGGGAAATTGCGAACAAACAAATCTAAAGGGTAATGACACACTTCTGAAGCCATCATTTTATAGAACAGTGTTGCTACTTAGGGTCATAGTTTGTTTACAGATTATTAAAAAACGCTCTTTTTGATACTGAAAAATAATATGCCTTGGGAAAACCAACAACATTTACACACATTTTAAAGAAGCAAACTTAAATACCTGTTTTAGTCTCTCATTCTCTTCCATGAATTTTTTGGCAGCCTCATTAGTATTTTCTGCTTGAGTTTTAAGTATGGCTTTGTTTGACAGTTCTATACTCAGCTGAGTAATGAGGGTAATCAGACGTCTCAACACACTGAGCAAAAACAAACAACAAAACCAAATCAGATTAATGTATAACTAGACTATTCACAGGAATTGTGACTTAAGATAAAAAGTTACTGTCAAATGATTCCCTGTAGGTATGGGTATGGTAGTGGGAGACCATGTTTAAGAAGGACATCTTTCTACCTTTTTATTCTTTTCTTCTCTCCCTCCTCCTTTCTAAATCCAAATCTTTCTGTCAGAACAAGCCTGTGTCTCATTCCTTTGTGACCTTTGTTACAAAACTAGCCCCTGGGAGATTCGGTTTAGCAGTACTTGTTAATTTAATTATCCTCTTTTTAGAGGCCTTTAGCCAGGAGGAGTGGAAACAGAATTGTAGACCGTGTGGCCAGGCCAGAAGGAGAGGTCCTTTTTGTTCTTTTTCTCCCTAGCACCTCAAAATCTGCTCTATAAAGAGTATTGTGTGAGGCCGGCCAAGCCTGAAAACTGGTCATTCACATCTGTTTATGGGTAACTTCCATTGTTCGAAAGAGAAATTAATATATTCAAATACTCATTCAACAGGTATTTCCTCTGCTAGGCGTTAGGAACTGCTAAGCGTTAAACACTGTGCGAGGCACTGGGGACACAGTGGCAAGTGAGACAAAGTCTTTCAAGGAGTTTAGGCTCCAGGTGGTGAGGCCAGAGCTACAACAGGAATTAGTCGCAAACGTGAATGAGACTCAAAAGAGCACACAGCAGAGAGCACCGCTTCGCTCTGGGGGCAGCGATGGTCACAGTCGGCTTCTCTGTGAAGGGGCTGAAGGATGGACAGAAATTAGCCAGGGGAAGAGGGGGCAGAAGGAAAAGCAGGTGTGAAGACTCGGAAGTGGGAAGAAGTTAGGGACACAACACACTCAATAAACGTCTGTTGCAAGACTGAATGGAAGAACAGCGAAGGCTGGGGCGGCCGGGAATAGGAGGCGGGGGCCAGGCCGTGCGGGGCCTTCTGTGCCATCAACCCCACCGGCCAGAACGACTGTTTGTGGTTTAAGAACCTCACCCGCATTTTTTTACGGAGATGTCAGTATACTAAATGGTGTAGGAAAAAAATCTTTAGGAAAAACGAGGAAGAGAAACACAGTCATGTTCTAAAACTATGCTTTTTAAAAACTTACAGCCAAAAAAATAATGAAAATCCAGAAATGTAAAGGTTTCTTTGAGACCTAAAAAGTTTCATCTGTGCATGTTCATAGGCACCAGGTTTGCTGGTTAAGCCTTTTTCAAGGGCAGGTACAGAGGAGTATTTCCTTACTTCTCTCACAGCATCTATTAGAGGAAAAGAAAAAACATTACTTTTGGCTTTTAATGATACAAAATTACTTTTAAAATGGAAAGCAGTTTTGGGGTGCTTGGGCGGCTCAGTCGGTTAAGCGTCTGACTCTTGATTTTGGCTCAGGTCATGATGTCAGGATTGTAAGATCTAGCCCCGTGTTGGGCTCCATGCTGAGCGTGGAGCCTGCTTAAGGTTCTCTCTCTCCCTGCCCCTCCCCCCTTCTCTAAATTAAAAAAAAAAAAAAAAAGAAGGAAACAAGTTTGAGAATAACTGAACTTTTAAATAATGGGCTTTTTTTTTTTAATTTTAAAATGTTTTATTTATTGCTAGGAAAGAGAGAGAGAGAGAGAGAGAGAGAGAGACAGCATGAGCTGGGGAGGGTCAGAGAGAGAGGGAGTTACAGACTCTGAAATAGGCTCCAGGCTCTGAGCTGGCAGTCAGCACAGAGTCCGACGCGGGGCTCGAACCCACGAACCGCGAGATCATGACCTAAGCGAAAGTCGGATGCTTAACCGACTAAGCCACCCAGGCGCCCCAATAATGGGCTTTTTGTGTGGGCTCTTTTTGTCTTTTTTTTTCTATAACACCTGGGAGGGCACATGCTCAAAAGAGATGCTCTGTAGACAGAAGCCAGTGGAAGCTAGTTGCAAAAACTTTGTAACAGCTTTTTTTAAAAAAAATTATTTACCTAGGACTTATTATCATTGTATTGTCTCTCATCTCCAGCTGCACTGCAAACTATTAACCTTCATTCATTCTATCCCTAATAGGCTGAATAAAATCCAACCTACTGACGACAGTAGATAGGTCATTTATCATTCCCATCAGTGCCAAGAGACCAAACTATTTCCCTTTCTGTACTAACATTTTTATTATATCTATTATTCCTTTAATATCATCAAATCATTACGGTAATTATTAAAGTAACATTAAGTTATTTAAAATAATATTATTAAAGTAACATTAATATTATTAAAATATTATTATTCATCAAGGCACCTGGGTGTCTCAGTCAGTTAAGTGTCTGACTTGGCTCAGGTTATGATCTCAGAAGTCCTGAGTTCGAGCCTCGCATCGGGCTCTCTGCGGTCAGTGTGAAGCCCCACTTGGGATCCTCTCTTTCTCTGCCCCTCCCCTGTGCTCACTCTCTCACATAAATGTAAAAAAAATATATTATAACTCATTAACACTAGTAATATTAATATGATTTTATTGACATTTTAGAAATATTTGCTACACTGAGATTTCCCCTCGCGTAAGTTAAAACGGGATTTGACCTATATGGGCATACGCTCCCCCAACAAGCACATGGGTGGCACCAGCTTCTGCAAACATTCAGAAAGCTGCACTTTTGATGCATTCAGGTCCATTATGCCTCAGATACAGGGGATCTATTTCTTCCCAGGGGAAAACAGAGTTTAGCTTATTTATATCCATATTTAGTGCACTCTTAAGTCACTGGATTCTTGTAGGTCCTAGGTTAGGGACTTTGCATTAGGTGTCTCAAAGGCCAGCGGGCCAAACAAGTTACACTGTTTCTTTCATGTAGCCATCGATATTCTTAGGGAAGAGTGACTGCTATACAGGAAAGACATTCCAGTTAGAAACCTGAGGCCACTTAAAACTACTATTTTACTTCACTTTTAAAAATTAATATCTAAAAAAAGTTTTTAATGTTTGTTTATTTCTGAGAGAGAGAGCACGAGTGGGAAGGGGGAGAGGGGGAGAGGGGGAGAGGGGGAGAGGGGGAGGGGGAGAGAGAGACACCCTGAAGCAGGCTCCAGGACCTGGGCTGTCAGCACAGAGCCCGATATGAGGCTGGAACTCCCGAACCACGAGATAATGACCTGAGCCAAAATCGGATGCTCAACCGACTGAGCCAACTAGGGCCCCTATATATTTTTTTGAGAGACAGAGAATGCAAATGAGTGTGCAAGCAGGGATGGGGCAGAGGGAGAAGGGGAGACAGAATCTTAAGCAAGCTCCATGTCCAGCACAGAGCCTGATGTGGGGCTCAATCCCACATCTGTGAGATCATGACCTGAGCTGAAATCAAGAGTTGCACACTAACTGCTGGAGTCTCCAGGCAGCCTTTATTTTTTAAATGGCAGCTTTACTGAATTATAACTCACATACCCTAAAATTTACCCCTTCAAAGTGTCTAATTCAATAGTTTTAAGTATATTTGCAAAGCTGTGCCACCAACACCAACTTCTGAATATTTTCATTAACCCCGTCAGAAGACCCATATACATTCCTTCCCTCCTAGAAACTACCAATTTACTTTCTGTCACCATGGATTTGCCTATTTTGGACTTTCTATACATAAGAAAAAATTTACTACAGAGCCTTTTGTGTCTGGCTTCATTTAATTCAGTGTTTTCAAAGTTTGGCTATATTGTACTGCGTGCATATCAGTATTTATTTTTATGGCTGAATAATATTCCGTTGTACAGAAAGACCTCATCTCGTTTATCCATTCTTCAGTTGACGGACATTTGGACTGTTTCTACTTTTTAGCTGTTATGACTAATGCTGCTATGCACATTCTTTTCTCGGTATGTTACCAATCTTACAGCTTTTTGGTTTATTTTCAATTATAGAGTTTGTCTTTCTCTAGTTTCATAAAATTTAAAGTTTTTTTCCTTTAAATTCTGGAACAGTTTAGGCAGCATTAATAATATCTTTTCTCTGAAAGTGGTAGAATTTCTTGCAAAACTATCTGGTTTTATTCTTTTCTGAAGGAGGTAGCTTTTTTTACAACTTTCTATAATTTTTCTAGGGAAAACTGGTCTGCTTAAATTTTCTGTATCTACTAGAATTCATCTGATAAGTTACATTTCTCTACAAAATTACTCATTTCACGTAGGTTTCCAGATTTGCATAGAGGTGTATAAAATAGTCTCTTAAATTATCCTTAAGAATTTTTCTTGCACAGGGCACCGGGGGAGCTCAGTTAGTTAAGCGTCCAACTCTTGATTTTGGCTCAGGTCATGATCTCACGTTTCATGAGACAGATCTGCATGTCAGGCTCTGTGCTGAGCACGGGGCCTGCTTGGGATTCTCTCTCTCCGTGTCTGCACCTTCCCCGTGTGTGCTCTCTCTCTCAAAATAAATAAGCTTAAAACAATCTTACTCTTGGTCTTAATGGCTATTTCTCCTTTTCCATTCCTCAGATTGTCACAATATAGGAAGAGCATACCAACAACACTACAAAACACCTAAAAAATCCACCAAACAGAATAGTATTTATGAGTTATTCTGAGCAGGACAGAGGAACCAAATAGTAATATGAAGGATCATTATGCCTGTTATTCAGCCTCTTTGACTTTTTAAAAAAATGTCATTAAAATTTTTTTGGGGGGGTGGGGGGCGAAGAGGGCACCTGGATGGTTCAGTCGGTTAAGTGGCTGACTCTTGATTTTGGCTCAGGTCATGATCTCATGGTTCGAGTGGTTCTCTAGTGGGTTCGAGTCCCGCACTGGTGGCTGTGCTGACAGTGTGGAGCCTGCTTGAGATTCTCTCTCTTCCTTTTTCTCTTTTCCTCCTTGACTTCTGCTCTCAAAATAAATAAACTTTTTAAAAAAGTTAAAAAAAAAAAGATTTTTTTTAACGTTTACTTATTTTTGAGAGTGGGAGTGAGAGCAGGGGTGGGGGGTAGAGAGAGAGAGACAGAGACAGAGAGAGAGAGAGAGAGAGAGAGAGAGAGACAGAGACAGACAGAGATAGACAGAGACAGAGACAGAGAGTGAGTGGGGAGCGGAGCAGAGAGGGAGGGAGATACAGTATCTAATGCAGGATCCAAGCTCTGAGCAATCAGCACAGAGCCCAATGCAGGGTTTGAGCTGACAAACTGAGATCATGACCTGAGACAAAGGTGGACGCTTAACCAACTAAGTCACCCAGGTGCCCCCTTTGGCTTTTTTTATTTTTTTAAGTTTATTTATTTATTTTGAAAAAGAGACAGCAAGCAGGGGTGGGGAAGAGAGAGGGGAAGATAGGGAAAATCCTAAGCAGGCTCTACACTGTCCGTGTGGAGCCCAACGTAGGGCTTGAACCCACAAACCATGAGATCATGACCTGAGCTGAAATCCAGAATCAGAAGCTCAACTAACTGGGCCACCCAGGGGCCTCAAAGCTTCTTTGGCTTTTATATGAAAATAATATTCTTGGATCCATTATGCAGAGATGCTGAGAATTAACCAACATTAAAGAAGTTTATAAATACAAATGGTCACACAAACCCACCTGTAGGGTAAAACCCCCTCCAGCAGAGGAGGCTGTGGGAACAACGAGGGAGGCACAGTACGGGCAGCGTGGGGCACAGAGTCAGTCTTCTGTAAGCCACGCGGAGACAGCCTTTTTTGGATCACTTGGGGAAACTTCCAAAACCTGGGATGCATTTCTGCTGATACTAAACACATTCCGGGGTCTCCTGCTGCCTTCCTACCTGTTCCCACCTGACAGCACACGTGTGACTGTACTCAGTACAGGCTCTAGGGACAGGAACACCTGATAATAACTATCTTATTAGAGAAACAGCCAACAGGAAAAGTGAAATAAATTTGAAAATAAAGTAATAAATTACACTTGAGCAACCTACTGGTTTTGTATTATATACACTTTCATCATCCTAGTGAGTAGGAACACTGAACTATGCACTTTCCATATGCTAATGCTTTTAAACCTTTAAACACCTCAGTGAAGCAGGTATGATTACCCTATTCTGAGACGGAAATACTGAGGTTTAAAGGGTAAGTCCCTATCTACCCGCCTTTACTTTGTACGGTCCAAGCTCCTGCACGAGCCACCCTGATGTCCCTATTCTCTGAGAATTAATTACCCAACCACAGATGTCGGCTCCAGTCAGCGGTCATGGTTCTGTGCCTTTGACTCCTGCCCTCGGCCACTGCATACCAGACAAAGGTTGGATACCTGGTGCTAGATGATTCACTTATTTTCCTATTTTCCTTCTATCTGGAATTCAGATTCACAAGTGGCTAATTAATCCTTGTGTATGGCTGGAGTGATGCCACCTGGCAGCTATGTGGTGCCCACCTTCTGCCTTGGGAAGGGAGTATCAGCGTCCATGGAGACAAGGAAGAATGAAGTAGACCCACAGAGTAATGCAAGGCACGAAGGAGACACTTGAATTCCGAGGACTAGTCCCTCCCTGGAATTTGGCTTCCTTCCTTCCCGGAGCTGCTCTAAAACAACCCCCTATTTTATTAGAAGTTTCCCTTTCTTGCTCAAGTGAGGTTCGGTTGGCTTCTGATACCTGTAACCAAAAGAACCTTAGACTAACGTTCCCCTTCCTTATATGGAATATGTGGCAGCTTTCAGTAGGAATTCTTGTGATGACTTTAGACTTAAAAGATCACAATACCAGAGGCAGTAGAGGCCTTTTTTCTCTCTGTTCTACAAATGGAGAAATGAAACTCAGAGAGATGAAGTGCCAAAGGGCATTCAGTTAGTTGGTGGCAGAGTTGGGATCGTTTTCCTTACTATCCTTTACTTTTTTTTTTATTAAAAAAATTTTCAATGTTTATTTTTGAGAAGGGGGGGCAGAGAGAGAGAGAGAGAGAGAGAGAGAGAGAGAGAACTGAACCAGGCTCTGTGCTGAGAGCCACGAGCTCGGTGAGGGGCTTGAACTCATCAACTGTGAGATCATGACCTGAACTGAAATTGGACACCCAGGTGCCCCTGTCCTTTACTTGTTACCCAGTGTTATTTGTTACGCGGCTGGAGATTTTCTTGACAATAACGGCACACCATGGGACACATACTGGCATTTCAAAGTGAAGCAGGGACCCATTCACACTCTGATACAATCACCTACTCATACCTCTCGCACCAGCTGTTCCTAGTTCTATAAAAAGGAACTCATTTCAGAGGTAGGTGGTATGGGACACGGGAAACGTCTCCTCATCAAACAGTGGCACGTAGAGCAGTCATCCCAGGAAGGCCTCTGTACAACTCGCTATAGCTCAATAGTGACATCAACTTAGGTAATTAAAAACCCAGTGAATTCATTAATAATAATGTAAAAAAAACCCCTAGAGTTAAGCTTAGTCAAAAGAGGAATTCAGTACTTACCTAGAAATAGAACAATCAATAGGACTATAATAGTAAGGAAAGCCTTGTTCCAGAAAGTTGCAATTTTACCCCAGACATTAAATGAAAAAATCTTCTGCCATCTGTAAAGCAATATAATTACATTAGAGATAAAAAAATCAAAAGATTATGAAATGCTTTGCAAATATTCAATGAGCATTTTTCTAACTGTGTAGTGAGTGAAAAGAATTACAGAAATTTAATTTTTCATGTCTTATCAGAGAATTATCAATTTTCTGACATGACATAAGCGTGTCTCATAAAATAAAGGACAACTCAAGTGTAATGATAATCTGACATTACCTTCTGTCTGGTGGCTTAAACCTTCTAAAGCAAAAATGGCTAGCTTTCAAAGTAAAGACGCATGATCAAAACCTTAAAAAGGGATTCTTATAGTCCCTTGGTGACAGCAATCCACTACACCAATATAGTCTTACAGCTATATTGCTGACAGAAGTTATCACTTTGTATCTTTTCGCTCATCAGGATAATAACTCAGAAATAACAAAGACCTACTGGTCTAATTAATCAGCAGCATTTCATGAGCAAGGGGTCTAACTCTGCACTATTTATTTTTCCATAATACACTTCTAACATCTACTCCAGGTAAAAGAATTCTCTATTTTTATCACAAGGGAATTAAAAATGTTATCGCTATATTACATAAAGTGCAAAGATGTTAAATAGATTAATAAAGTTTTACATATGTATACACTCATATAATTACCACTCAGATCAAGATGTGAACATAGGAAACGAAATGGGGAAAAAGTCTAGATGGATTGAACAGCACAAGCAAAGACACAGAGGTAAGAAAGCACGCATTATAAATGACAAAGATGACAGCAATCCACTACACCATTGGAAAGGTAACAAACTTTGTACAGGGTGTTTTATTTATTTTATTTTTAAAAGTGTATTTATTTTGAGAGACAGGGAAAGAGCTCGAGCAGCGGAAGGGCAGAAAAAGAGAGAGAGAGAGAATCCCTAGCAGGTTCCATACTGTTAGCTAAAGAGCCTAATGTGGGGCTCGAACTCATGAAATCATGAGACCTGAGCCGAAACCAAGAGTCAGTGCTTAACCGACTGAGCCCCCAGGTGTCCCTGTACAAGGGCATTTTAAATGAATAACAGATGAATGAAGTCCAAAGGACCTAAATAAAGTTCAAACACAACCTAAAAATAAGTTTTACTTCAAGATTACAAATTATTAACTAATAACTTTTGAGAACAACCCTAAGCAGTAACTTGAAGTTGGGAGGAGAGGAAGATGGACATAGGTGAAGGAGGTCCTTTTGCCTCGATGCTGCCAGAGATGCTACTCAGATTTTTCATTACAAAATGTTTATATTTTTAGAAAGAGAATATGAGGAGCAACACCTTCGTGTAAGCCCCACTGTAAATTCACATTTTAACAGCCAGTATAGAAAGGAACACGAGAGAGGCCTCCCATAGGGAACAACTAGCAGTTTCTAGTGAGACTCCATTCAAGGAAAAACTGATCATAGCTATTATATACTGAGTCCTTACGATGCTATGGTTCTAGGCACTTTTATGTATTTTAGCTCATTCAATCTCCACAGCCACTAATGAGGTGGATACTAGTATTATCTCTATTTTACAAACGGAGAAACTGGCCAGAGATGGTAAATAATTTGCCTAGGGTCATACAGTAACATGCAGAGCTGAAATACACACTCAGGCAGCCTGACTTCTAAGCATGTGTCTTTAACCAGTGGGTTAAGTGAGAAAATAATAGCCAAATTTAAATAAAACTGAAGGCTTCTCGTTGATGCCTATGGTGGTACATGCATAAAAGACAAAATGTGGATACACACAGTAAGAACATATTGTAAATGGGTTGTAAGCATATATATTTTCTTATATATATACTTGTAAATGAGTATATATTTATAGAATTTCTGTACTCACATACACGTCTATCAAAGAGGTACTTGAATAGGACACGAAAAAAATTATATTTGGCAGGAAGAATAAGATCCAAAATCTATGTATTATTTTCATGGAAAAAAGACTAATGGACTATATATATATATATAGAAATACACATATATTATATATATACATAGGAAATGCTTAAGCTTTATTTATAAATAATATCTTTCTTTCTCTTGAATATAGGACTCTCTTGTTGCAACTACTAACAAAAAGCTAGCAGGGTGTTGTAGAGATTTCAAAGCAACCCGCAGGATGAGCAGTAGAGTAAAAAAGCAGTAGGCTGAAAGTCAGATTTTTGTCTAGAGTCAGCTACGGATTAGCTAGATGACTACCTTCCCTACGGAATAAGTAGGCTGGCTAAAATGATCTCTAATGCTCCTTCCTACAGTGTGATTCCATTTTTTTCTTTAGTAAGGAAGAAAAAAGTGACGGCGTAGCTGATAAGCAAGGACAGGAGTAGAAATCTAGGTAGGTAAGAAACAAGTCGAGTTGCAAAGACCCCCTGGACCCTGAGCCAAAGTAAAAACTTAGGTAAGTCTCTGCCAGCCATGGGCTCTCACTAAACTTATCTCTAGGATCTCATTTATGGAAGATTTTCTTTTATGCCAGGGGCATGAACCCAGGTGTTGCAACATTTTATTGCAAGCGTGTTTCACCATTCATACTATCAACTTTCTGAATCTAAAACTGAACTACTGCAGCCGCACTTGTGGTGAACACGGCGTAACCGTGGAGAAGTGAAATCGCCAGGCTGCACGCCTGACGCTGGCCGGACACCGATGTAACGCTGTGTGTCAACTGTACGAACCTCCCCCTGCCCCACCAATGAACAGCAGGAGGACCTACCAGCGTGAAGTCAGCCAATGATTCGACTTAAATACTTTTATGCTACTTACAGGCCTCTCAAAGTTCTTTAGTAAGGAATTAACGCTAACGTACGGTTGTGGTACTTTCCATATTCGGCACTTTGAGTGTATATTAATTCTGTGTATGGAAAAAAGGCAGTAAAACATTAACGTAACTGGTTTTGGGTTACCTAAGGCCAAAAGGAAGAACCACTGACTGCTGTAAGTGTCTACACTGCCAGTGCACTGCCCGCGGGAGACACTTCTGGGTCCGCCATCTACCCGTTCCCTTCCTGAGCGGACTGGCCGGGCCAGGGCAACAGCCGGGCTGGGTGTGACGACCGGCGGGGAAGTACGGCCACGACAGGGAACCGCGAGGACTGGGCCCTTGCCCTTTTAGGAGCGACGGGACACGGAGTTAATTCGTTTGTACCTGTACCGAGTATTATACAACGTCATATTTTAATACTGTGCGATGTCACCTGAAATGCGTGTGGAAAGAGCACCTTTAACACAGCCAGCACTCCAACCTTGTTAATCGCAGGAAACGTCTCCTCACACCTGCCTGAGGCGGCCGGTCGCGCTCACTGTACCTACGGCAACTCCGCGCAGGGCTCCTACCTCTGAGGGGGCACGAAGGGCAGGCAGAAGAGTAACATCAGCCCTATTTCGGCATAAAGAAAGGCTGCAACTGCCACCCACTGCAGTGTCATCTCCTCTTCACACCTGAACACAGAAACACTGAACTCACTTCGCCGCCCGCCCGAGGGAGCCGCGGGGGGAGGCCCGGGGCGCAGCCGGCCGGCCCCTCCTCCGAGCCCCCGCGGGGGGCGGCCCGCCGCCCTCCGCTAACGCCCGCGCCCCGAGGCCCTGCTTCTCCGCGAACGCGCCGCGGGCAGGGCGGCTTCCGAGGTCCAACCGCGGAGGCAGCGGCGCGACCCCGCGCGGCCCGGCGCTCCCGCCCGCCTCGGGGACCGCGGCCCCCCGGGAGCGCGAGCGGCCTTACCCCTGCTGCGGCGCGGCGCGCTCTCCGCGCCGCCCGGCGCCGCCGACGCGCCTGACGTCAGACGCCGCGGCGGGGCGGGCGGGGCGAGGGGCGGAAGGGGCGTGGCGAGGGGGCGGAAGGGGCGGGGCGGGGCTGGGGAGGGGAGAGCGCCCCAGCCCCGCCCGCCTGCCCCGCCCCCTCGCCCCGGACCGCAGCCCCGCAGCTGGCGGCGCGCACGCGCTTCCCCGACGGCGTGGAGGCGCGCGGACGACGGTTGCCGTTGATGGTTTTCTAACTGGCTCGCTCGGCGGGCGGGTGCGGTTGATGGACGCCCCGTGAGAGCGTCGCGGAGTCGGGAGGAGGGGCCCCGGACGGCGGGCCTGTCGGGCGCTGCGGAGCCCCGGGCGCGCCCCGCTGTCCGCGTCCGGGGCGGGCGTCGCGCCCTGAGAGCCGGTCCCCGGCGGGAGAGGCGGGCGCCCCCGGGGCGCGCGGGAGCCGAGGCCGGGGTGCGGCTGCTTTCCGGGCGTCCCAGCCGCGCGCAGAGCGCTCCACGACCGGTCTCCACGCGACTCAGGAATTCTACCCTCCCGGACGGAGTTCCTGGGGGACTATCGGCTGATGTAAATAGTTAGAGAATATGGACATAGACTTTTTAAATTTTTCACGCGTTGGGGGGAGTGCAGCACACACTAGTGGGGGCGAAGAGAGCACCCAAGCCGGCTCCACCGCGCGGACGCCCGCAGGGTCCCCACCCCCTGGGGAGCTAACGACTGGGCCACCCGGGCGCCCCTAAAAACACATTTAAGTGGGTACTTTTTCTTATCACAAATATACCCGATCACATAGAAAAGAAAGGGAAAAAAGACTAAACAGTGAATTAACTATAGGGAAGGTTTAACAAAACCTCAACCGTGCGTAGAACTCCACGCTCTGTCCACACGGCTTCCCCTGAAAGCCGATGCACCTTACCCTATGCTGCTGTGCTCACACCACCAGTGTAATGCACTTTGGAGTTAATTTACAAACATAAAGATTACTAATTTTGACTATAGCTCCCTATTTGCTTAAATACTAAAATCAGATAAAAAAGCCAGTTATCTCCAAAAACGTTAACTGAAAAAGGAAAGCATAGAATGTGATTAAAAGATAATGGCAACACAGTGCTTATTTTAAAATGGATTCATTTAATATTCTCAAACTCTTGAATTAAGCAGTCTTAGACGCAGTTATAACTAAATACCACTATAAATCGTATGAAAATTAGGTTTTTCAGTTAATTACATTCTTGGGGCATCTGGGTGGCTCAGCTGGTTAAGAGTTGACTCTTGATTTCGGCTCAGGTCTTGATGTCAGACTCGTGAGATGGAGTCCCGCATGGAACCCTGTGCTGAGAGCAGGGAGCCTATACGGGATTCTCTCCCCCTCTGTCTTCCCCCACGGGTGTGAGCACACACGCTCTCAAACTTAAAAAAAAAATTCTCTAAGAAATATTTCAAATATATAATCATTTCCAGATTGGTTACCAAATTTTTTGTAGGATGTGGGGGGCTAATACTAATTTTATCATTTTAAGTGGAGGTGTATTTACCAAGCTCTCAAATTTCTAAGGATCTAGACGATTTGAAATGTAACAAAGTTAATGTCATTTAAAGAGTTTCATGGATCTTAGTGTGAAATTATAGAAAACATCACATGTAATTAAACTCGGTTACACAATTTAAGAATACCTTGAGGTGTGTCATTCATGAATTAGGAAGTACCAGTTTGATTTTCCTATTTGAGTTTTTTTTTAATGTCTATTTATACTTGAGACAGAGAGAGAGATAGAGAGACAGAGCATGAGAAAGGGAGGGGCAGAGCGAGAGAGGCAGACACAGAACCCGAAGACAGCTCCAGTCTCAGAGCTGTCAGCACAGAGCCCAACACGAGGGGCTTTATTCAACTCACGAGCTGTGAGATCATGACCTGAGTCAAAGTTGGACGCTTAACCAACTGAGCCACCCAGGCGCCCCTCCGATTTGAATTTTTTAAAAATATTTTTATTCATTTCTAGGAGAGAGAGAGAGACAGCGTGAGCAGGGGAGGGTCAGAGAGAGAGGGAGACACAGACTCCGAAACAGGCTCCAGGCTCTGAGCTGGCAGTCAGCACAGAGCCCGATGCGGGGCTCAAACCCACGAACCGCGAGATCATGACCTAAATGAAAGTCGGACGCTTAACCGACTAAGCCACCCAGGCGGCCCTCCAATTTGAATTTTTAATTTGAAACTTGAAAGCAATTCTATACTGAATTTTTTTTTTTTCATTTTACATAAAAGTTGGCATTCTGTCACTTATTTCCATTAAAATATACTTCATGTTAATTTACGGACACTAAGGAGTCATACTTTTAGTATTAAAATATAAAGCTTTATTTATTTAAAAATGTTAAAAACAATTCCTGTAGGAAAAAATTTCTGAGTTTTTTTTAAATCCATGATAGGATTCAGAGCAATTATTTGTCAATGGTTGAAAGGGTGACCAGGATGTCTGAACCTGGGGTCTTCTTTAAAACTAAGTTCCGGTTCCACCCTATAGATCCACTGAATCAGAATCTCTGAGGATGGCGTATGACGACTTAATATATATTACTGTAATATATATAAATTGTTTTAATTTAGGAAGTCCGATCAAATCCCATAATGGTCTGTAAGGTAATCTAAGACTGCTGATGTGCTTGACAAAGCATTAAATACTCTTTTTTCCTGCCTTGAGGTTTTCTTTTCCATCATGTACATTAAATGCTGATGGAAACACATATAAGGAGTTCCAAGTTCAAGAGCAATGTCAACCCAGTCCCAGATGCATTTCAGTGGGGTTTCCTCATATCCAGCAAACATGGCCGGGTTTGCTAAGAGTCCTCTTGCAACCATCACACCTATAAATTAAAGCATATCACATTTGTCGACACATGAAGAATTCATGGTTATAAGGTCAAACTTAATGAAACAAACTGAAAATACTGAAACATAAACTATTACTACAAGGTTTCTCAATACCCATATACTAGTCTAATTAAATTACATAACAATTTGATGTTTGTAAATCAAGAACATTTAAACGTACTTACAAGAAAAAAAAAGAATTTCTTAAAAAACTTTTACATTAAACAGTTTCTAGGGTTTAAAGGGTTAATACAGATTGTCATAAACTGGGCTTGCTTAAAATTAAGGTTTATGTGCAATCTCCCATCGAGCAATAGTTATCACAGGCCTTGGTATGCTGATAACTGAAAGGGGTAATAAAACTACATAGCTGTATGTGCCTCTGGCTCCTATGACAACTTGGTGTTCACTAATTCTCATTTCGTTTCTAGATGTTCTGTTTTACTAATAGGCTCTCCGGAAGATAGCCTTCTTAACTGGTCGTTCATTGGATATGATGGTGGCAGAAAAGTAACTGACTTAATTTACCCCTCTTAAAACAATCTGTTTCAAAGTAGAAGAGTTAACATAACTTTAATAAATGATATAGCTTGAATCAGTACAACAGGAAAATATGGCTCCAATTTAAAGACAAATAATGAGGGGCGCCTGGGTGGCTTAGTCGGTTAAGCGTCCGACTTTCGCTTAGGTCATGATCTCGCGGTTCGTGGGTTCGAGCCCCGCGTCGGGCTCTGTGCTGACTGCCAGCTCGGAGCCTGGAGTCTGTGACTCCCTCTCTCTCTGACCCTCCCCTGCTCACGCTGTCTGTCTGTCTGTCTGTCTCTCTCTCTCCTAGAGATGAATAAAACATTTAAAAAAAAAAAAGACAAATAATGAAAAACCACATTAACATTACTCTCCTACTCCCACTTTTTTTTTTGGTAATTAAAAGACAAAAAGCTCAAGTACTTATTTCTTACCATCTGTCCTAGTAATATGCCACACATTTTCTGCTTCTCTTAAGCTTCTGATATCTCCGTTAGCAATTACAGGTATAGACATATTTTCCTTAATTATTTTAATGGCCTCATAGTGAACTGGCTGATGTCTCTCCTCAACAGTCCTGCCATGGACCGTAATCCAAGAAACTCCTGCTGCTTCTGCCTTTCGACAAAGATCTACAGTTCTTGTGAGGTCATCATGGATCCTGTAATTTCAAAATTAAATCAGTCTTACAAACATACGACATCCATATCTTAATGCTAAAATAGCTAAATAAAATAGTTCATCTGATACATTTAGTTAGCTCTGTCATAATATAATTATTATCACTAGATTCCACTATCAGAAAGGCTTTGTTCAGAGACCAGTTCCCACTTATCAAATTTAGCTATTTCACTACTGGAAACAATGGGATGACAAATTTCTTCTTACTTACTCTTTCCCTCTTTTAGCTTTGATAACTGAAAAAGCCATCCAAGCACCGGCATGGAGCAAATGAAAGATGGTACCCTGATATCTGCTGTGCGTGCTCCAAACCGCCAGCGGGAAATAGAATACGTTATCATGAAATGTTTTATCGTTCCAATTTTAGTATATGTCCTGCCCAAGCGAGCACTATCATGAAATGTTTTAAAATTTATTATTCTTTTTAAATGTTTTATTTACTTTTGAGAGGGAGGGAGACAAAGCACAAGTGGGGGAGGGGCAGAGAGAGATGGGGAGCACAGAATCTGAAGCAGCTCCAGGCTCTGAGCCGTCAGCATAGAGCCCGATGCGGGGGTTGAACACATGAACTGTGTGATCATAACCTGGGCTGAAGTTGGATGCTTTATCGACTGAGCCACCCAGGTGTCCCAATCATGAAATGTTTTTAACCTGTCACCAAAAGATCGATTCCTGGTTTATTTTCTTTTCATTGTGAAATTTTAGTGCAAATATTTTTACTGTTTTTTTCTATTTTTGGTACCAGGAATGTTTCTTAGCATTATTAATTAAGCAGTATGTGGAAAAAAACTGAGGTTTCTTTTAAGGGGAAGTTTTTAATAATAAAGGGACATTTTATTTTCTGTTAAAAATACAAAAAGGAAGTTATTCTGTTATTTTTATAATTA